TTTTTTTTTTTTCTTTATGGAAATAGTTTTCCAACTTTCTTAGCCTTAGATTCTGAGAAAAGGTATTAGCTAAGTCCTAGTTAATGGAAGAAGAGCACAGGCACAGGTGGAGAGACTTCAACAGTCTGAGCTGCCTATAAATCACTACCAGCATTGCACAGTTCCAGGTTCTGAAAGAACTTGGGAGGTTCTGAACTTTGCAATTCAGAAAGCTCATCTTATTAAAAAATAAAGTCATTAAAATGCACGCTTAGGATAATAAACACTTCCAGAAATGCATTTGGATTATGCTTTTGAGGGTGCCCGGTGCTTTGTTCATCTAATCCTTAGAAGCGCCCTGAATGATCAATTGGTCAGAGCTCTGAAGTCTGACTGTGAGAAATACGTTGCCCCCGGTGACTTTCTGACGACGGGGGAGACTTGAAGTTAACCTTCATCCACCCCATGCTGTTTTTCGCTCTCTCCGTTACAGCTTTTTCCCTAAAGAAGTTGCTCAGAACGGCTCACAGTGACTGACATCCCATAATAGAACTGAAGCACAAACAAAATAAACAAAGGGAGATTTCTATCCTTCTCGGTTAGGGGAGAAGAAACGAGCCCGCAATCCAAGTTGCATCCAGCCAAATATTGTATCCACAGGAAGCCATTTTGCATTAACGGTGTTGAATTAATTTGATTGAACTCAGCAGAAAACTATATTAATAGACGAGAATATTTGTAGCTCAGAGTTGAACTGTGGAGTCCTTGGTGCTCTCTGAGCTTGGTGGTTTTCTTGCAGATGTTTCATGACCCAACTAACATCATCAGTGCCAGAAGGGAGAGGGGTTTGCAGAGAGGAGGAGGAGGAGGAGGAGGACTATGGGTCCTTGGTGTTGTTTGAGCTTGGTGGTTTTCTTGCAGATATTTCATGACCCAACTATATAACAACCCCCTCTTCCTTCTAAGCAATGATGAGGTTATCTAGTTGGTTCATAAAACATCTGTAAGAGAACAACCCATCTCAGCAAGCACCAAGCCTCCACAGAAAACCATAGCCCCCAGTGGACTCTTTGTCCTGGATCTCCTTATTTTTCTAAACAAGGGTCCAATTACATCATATGAAGACAAATCCTTCGCCCCATACCCAAAGTTGCTGCTCCTCGTCCTAGGAGTTTTTTTGATGGGACTCAGCACTTCCCAGGATTATTGGCGTAATCTGCTATCAGTAGCTCCTTGGATGCCGTTGCACAAAATACCGACGAGATGGACCATTAAATGTGCACGCACAGTCTGGCTTACCCTAGCCAGAATCTGACTTCTTTATCCTTCCTGTTGCCCTGGGTGACAAATGGTGCTATTTGCTCTTCTTTTCTCAAACTCCTAACATAAGCTTCCTTGATTCTTCCCTAGTCGGTTTAATTAAAAAAACATCCTAGGTAAGAAGAGAGGTGGGATTTGGGCTTAAGGTGCCTCCAGGTTTGCAAATTATCACTGTCCCCCTGGTGACCTTGGTGTAGGTAATTTGTCATCTCTGTTCTCGTTCACCCGCTTTCCCCCACCCGCCCCTTTGTTGCTCACAAGGATCAAGGCACTAGTGATGAGCACATGCAATTAGAAGATAATTCAGTTGGGAAGCTAGCAATGTGCCGGGTGAATATTCATGAAACGGATGAAGGTAGAAATTAACCTCTCCCTCTTGAGATGATTCAGCATCTACATAGGACGTTATATATTCCCCCTTAACCTAATTGGCGCCCAGTAGATGCCTTTGGACTACAGCTCCCATGGCTTCCATCTGCCCGGCCAATGTGTCTCCTCGTTCGGAGTTGTAGTTTCAAACATCCAGAGGGCGTGAAGTTGAGTATGGCTGTGATATATGGTGCCAGCACCTTTCCTGTCTGTAGAATGAGGCCCAACCATTAAGCATCATCAGAGGTTCTCGCCTGTTGATACCTCCTGAGGTCAATCTTCATTTGTCAAAGAACCCACTGCAAATATATTTCTTTGTGGCAAACTCCAGATATGCATTAGCTGAGGGGCTTCAAGCTAGACTAACTCCCCAAATAGCATACTTTTCACATTGCAGTGGGTTCTGTGCCGTTACGATTTACCTCTAGAAGTTCAGATTCTTAGCTCCTCTCGCTCAGTCATCATGAACGAAGCTTCACAGACTAGAGATTGAGACTTCCTTCCCAAGAAGGAAAAAGTGACTCCAGAACAGTTTGCTTCTTCTGGGCTCTCCCACTGGACCCTTTTTCTAGAATGCTAGCCCTTGGGTCTAGGACCTTCTGCAAGCAGGATGTTTATATCAAGAGCCAAGAGCTGCATATCTTTGAACAATTCAGCAGCTCGCAATCGTGACGGTATTTTTTTGGGTTTCTTGCAGTCCCTGGTCCACCAGTGAGACTGGTATTTCCTGAAGTGAGGCTGACATCAGTGCAGATTATGTGGCAACCTCCCGAAGAACCAAATGGAATTATTCTCGGTAAGTGAAAAAGAAATGGACAGAGTTAGAACAGAAACTACCTTGTCAAGATGGGCTTAAGGTCAAAGAAACCCAAAGGCACAACGGCATCTTTTCATGTTTCTGGTTAGCACAAAAATGCCAAAAAGGCACCATTCCCAATATTTTACACTGTTTGCACAAAAGGTTGATTTTGGAAACAAAATAATTTCTCGTTCTCATTCCTTTGGTTGGTTCTGCTTGGCGTTCCTCACATCTTGATAATCCGTTTATCTACAACGTGTTGCAGTTCTTCATTTGAAGGATGAAGTTGACCCATGCAGGAACCCAAGTTTACAGTCGTAACACTTCCAAATCTTGAAGTGGTGACTTGAGAAAGATTGTAAAGCCTTTCTATACGTTGAAGATGCCAGTAGTTGGTATTAAAGCGTGACTGAGCATTTTAGCAGTGAGTGTGCAAGCGCAGTAAGTCCCAGGGGAGAAAAATGTTTGGGTTAAATTTAAACCCTGGTTTTAAAGAATGTGACTTGGAGGCCCTTAATAGACACTGATTTTTGCATTCTGTTTTTCATATCCTCTCTTTATGCCTTCTCCACATCCACCATCATTATTTCTCCTTCCCCTCCTCTTCCATTAATGCTTGTCTCCTTCTCCTCTCCCTCTTCCCCTTCTTTTTCCTCTTCCTCCTCCTTCTCCTCCTCCTCCTCCTCCTCCTCCTCTCCCATTGTTTGTCTCCTTACTCAGACCTCCTCCTCCTGCTCTTCTGTTTCCTCTTCCTCCTTTTCTTTCTCCTTCTCCTCCTCCTCTTCCATTAATGCTTGTCTCCTTATTCAGACCTCCTCCTCCTCCTCCTCCATCATTAATGCTCGTCTCCTTGCTCAAACTTGGTCCTGCTATGTCTGAAGAGCTTTGGAAGGTGACGATGAGTATAAAACCAGCATTAGTATTCTGAGCGCAAAACCTGTCCTTGCTCCTGCTTGTTTGCTTTGAGGGAAGAAGTGACTTAGAGTGACCTAACATTTAATAGACACATTAAACCGTGGCCATTTATTTGGCTCGGAAAGCAGTGGTGTGCCAGCGGATCCTGCTTTTGTTTGAAGACAGCTTGTAGCGCACCCCTGGATGCTAATTGTAAACCACAGATTGTGCCAAAGGACTCGTCTAAAGAGGGACAAGAATCAGGTGGACATAGAGAAGCCAGACCCAAACAACTCTGGAAAATTAATGGGGAACTATTGCTTTAAGCAACAAACAATAAACTGGCGGAGCATACATAGCAATATAACCATTGAACGTTTGTTTAGGAATTACGGGAAATCAAGTCCAGCCCATTTGGAGGGCACCAGCTTCTTTTGGGGGTGGGGGGAAGGCTCCTGACATGCCCCATTAACTGCCTTGGGGTGGAGGAAAAAAGCAGGCCAGAAGCTACCTCTGCTGAATGTAGCTTGCTTCTGGTTGGATCAGTTCTTTGGAAAGAGAAAAAGGTTACTCGGGAAGCTAACAAAATCAGAAGAGAAAGGTTTTTTGGAATGTTGGAAGTTGATATCCGAATAGCTATGGGGATATACTCAACCATCCAGGTTATAGGTTGTCTCGAATCCAAAGATGCTTTTCAAAAGGGAACCGAAGAAGCTTCTTGGATGAGAAGCTAAACGTTTCAAGGAGAAAAAGAAAAAGGAAGGAAGGAAGGAAGTCCAGTTGCCTTTTGAAAAGCCCCCTTGAATTGACCCTCTGAATCAATGGGAACTGGGACAACTCTCCATTCCTGTATAAATATTTCTGAATCTCTTTCTGAATCATTTTCCCTTGGAGGGCAGCTCAATTAACCTTCCATTTAAAAGAGGTTGGCACTGTGATTGCCTGTCTCCAGTCAACTCTGAAAATACCCCGATGTATGATTTTTATTTTATTTTTTTTTCCTTATGATGTTCTTTATATGTTTAGCGATGTTTTGACTCCTGTTTTATTCCAGCTTTCTATTCTTCATGTCTTAATAGCCTTTAAAATGCCTTTTGCATTTATTGCTGCCTTGCTCCTGCAGCCCTGGGGCATTCATTCATTTCTCCTTGAACACTTTCCATTTACCTCTATTGATTTTCTTTGTTTGAGTTCACCGGCACATCCCCTGGCCTCGTGGAAGTTGCATATCCCAGAGTTTTTTTCCAAGGAAAACACTGCAGCCCAAATGCCTTTTGAAGGCTGATTTCTTAAACTATGGTCTTTGACCAATTTGGAGACATCTTCAATGGCAGATTTTCTCTGACAATTTCTTTTCAGCGGCCCCAAGCTCAGATCGACTTAAAAGAAGAAAAACAATGTAGAATTGACAAGGGCTATTTTGGTTATTTTTCCGGCTTTGAAATTGGCTATTTTTTTTTCCCCCAACTATATTTCTAGAGCCAAACGGAATCTTAATGGGAGCCAGTGAATTCTTATATCTGTTATTTTAAAATCTTCAATAATAAAACAACCTTCTTTTCTGTTATATTTCTATGATTTGAAAAAACAAAACAAAAAGTAAAATCCTGCCATTTTGCTTTTCAGCAAATGACCCAAAGTTTAAAAGCTATTCCATGGTGTTTCTTTTTTGGAGCAAAAAGACAAGAGATTAGGAGTTGAAGTCTGAGTCAACCTAATCTGCTAACTTCCTTTGTGTTTAGATGAAGTACCTTCTGCATTAGCGGCCTGATATTAATGAATAAAAAAATAGTTTTCAGAAAGAAAATCTGGGACGAACATTTTCCAAACATTTCTCGCTGAATTACAGATTTTACAATTTTTACATGGTTTCCTACTAAACTTCAACTTTGAAGAAATCAGATTATCACCTCCCTGACAAATCTATCCAATTGGAAACCAGTCCTGTATAGATTAGTCCTCAACTTTACAACCAAAACTGAGCCCAACATTTTCTGTTTCTGAGACATTTATTGAGTGAGTTTCCCCACATTCTACGATTTTTCTTGCCACCTTACATGGTTGTTGGGTGAATCTGGCTTCCCCCATTGACTTGATGGGATCACATCAATGGTAGGATTCAAAAACTTTTAGTACCAGTTCTGTGGGCGTGGCTTGGTGGGCATGGTGTTGGTGGGCGTGGCAGTTACTTCAAAATCCCCATTCCCTCCCCACCCCACTAACCTGCTTTCCAGCTCCGTTCTCCTGTGCAGGGCAACCAAAGAAGACCCAACCAATCAGCTGGGACTCAATGGGAGGCAGAGAATAGAGGGGGGTGGGCAGTGGTGGTATTCAATTTTTTTTACTACCGGTCCTGTGGACGTGGCTTGGTGGGTGTGGCATGGCTTGGTGGGCATCCCACTAACCTGCTTTCCAGCTCCATTCTCCTGTGCAGGGCAACCAAAGAAGACCCAGCCGATCAGCTGGGACTCAATGGGAGGCAGAGAAGAGATGGGGTTGGCGGGGCCAGTCGGAGGTGGGATTTGCTGGTTCTCTGAACTACTTAGCTCCCAGTTCTCCAGAACTGATTGGAACCGGCTGAATACCACCTCTGTGTCACATGATCCCTGGACACTGCTATCGTCATAAATCTAAGTCAGTTGCCATTTGATCATGTCACCATGGAGATGCCGCAGTGGTTGTAAGTGTGGGAAACATCCCTAAGTCCCTTTTTTTCAGTGCCGTTGTTAACGCTGAACAGTCACTAAATGAACTTTTGTAAACCAAGGGCTACCTATCATTTTTCCAATGAAATCTCCAGGCCTCTTTAGCTGGCCCCTTTCCTTCCTCTTTCTCCAAGGAACGTTTTGGGACTCTGTACCAAGAACAGTTCGATTGGGAAGGACAACTCATGGTAGACTTCAGGCAAAGTCTACTTCCTCGGGTCTGCCTTATCAAGGATTCACGGTGTGTGCAACCTCTGGCAGGCGGTGTAGCATTTTGAAAGGATAAAGCTAAAGATATTACCACTTGGTTTTCTCTTTTTCCTCCCTGAAGTTCCCTTACAAAGGCTTCCTAGTTAATGATCTCTGAAGATTAAACTTGTTTAATGCAAATATCTGACAGCACCACCTGGCTGCTAATACTCCTATTAGTGTTTCACAGATTTGAGAGGACTTTTGGCGCTCTTCCTTAAGCTAACCATAAGTTTCTTATGCAAATACGTAGCTTCGAGTTACACAAATAATATTGATGAGAAAGTATCTAATAGGTTGATCCACTCACAGAGGGATTGTCGCCCGCTTCTTGTTCATCAAATGCATTTGCATTTGTGTAAGCCCGGCGCTTAAACCGAAGAGCAGAGCATGATCATTTTAATGGATGTCCGCTTAAGCCAGAATTGTCACATTATTTGCGACAACTTGTATGTCACTAAGTGCATCAGCCGAAGCTTAAACACAGAGCTGGGATTATGATTTCGGAACGCATCTGGTGTTGCGATCCCACGAAAAGCATATCCCAACTTTCGATGTATCTTTTTTCCCAGTCTTTGCCGAGCCTTTGATTTTATTATATTTTATTTTATCATCCATGCATGCCCATAGACGAGCGATTATCTTGCAGCTCACAGTTCTAGTTCTGACTTACAGCACCTCTGCCACCCTGATGGAGCTGCGTGCTTCGATGCACAATTTACGGGGCCGGCCTTGAAAAAAAAATACTCGTGGCCCCCACTAATGCCCCCCCATCACTTACCTGTGTCACCTGAGTAGCGCAAATGGGTGAGGGGATCCTTCTTGGAACTACTGCAGATAAACCTCCCAGTGGCCTCAATGACTCTTTAAAAGGATGCAAACAACCAGCTATCTGCAAGGAATATAAATCCTTCCATCCTCCCCCATCCAGTCAGAGCTGAAGAAGCTTCTTGGATGAGAAGAGAAACATCTTTAAAGAAAACCAAGAAAGTCCAGTTGCCTATTGAAAAAGCACCTTTGGGACAACCATGACGAGGATGAACGTCCGTAGACATTCTTCTGCTAGGTTCCATCCATGGTCCTTCTGCCTTGCTTCCATTCTCCCTTTATAGTATATTATAATATATAATGATATACTGAGTGGAGATCTGGAGAACATCCAAACTGAAGCAGAGATAAAAAGTTGCTCTTATTTCAGATCATTTCTCTACTTTTTAAGGAAAATTGTTCTAGCAAAGCATCAATGAAACGGAATTTTTTCTTAATGATCTGTTTCATCCCTATCAAAATTTTCCTGCATGCTATGACAATTAGTCTCTGAAAGCATTTTTTTTTTTTTGTAAAAAGAGCCAGGAAATGTTTCTTTTTACAAAAAGAATGAAAGCAAAAGAGCAAAAACCTGACAAACATTTGGATTAGATTTATTATGTTTATCTTTCTTTTGCTTTCCTTGGGACTTGGGAATGAGCCTATAGAATTAAAAGAACATTACAACAATTAAAAGCCAGACAATGCACAATAATTAGAAAGGAAAGCAATTGGAATTGCAGCAAATTTAAAAACAAAAGCGTAAAACCCCCAAATAGCTGACACAAAAGCCGCACGCAACAGGATGGCAGAGAATTCACATCAGTCAAACGGAAAATATCTCCCTGCTCAGAATGTGTTGGTGCATAGAAATTTTTCAATAAATTTCTGAACGCTGAAAGAAGAAGGAACTGTGAAATGCAGGTTATAATTAGTACAATTAGCAGGCAAGCTTGCAGGAAAGGAGTAAACGGAGTATGGAAGCACCGTGTAATAAAACGGTGGCCTTTGCAAATCGCTCTTCCTATTATGTGTCTAACCATCATCGGGCAGAAAGAACAATGTTTATTTTTTTACAACAGTTTTTGGAATCACTAAGAGCAGCACTTGTTGGAAGACTTATCTTCATTTTCTAGTGGAAGGGGTGGGGGAAATGGAAGTGAATAATTAACCTGTGGAATGGCTTGCCACTAGAAGTTGTAGGTTTGCCATCACTGGAGGTTTTTAATAAGAGACTGGTCAGACATTTGTCCGAAATGAGGTCGGACCTCCTGCTGGAGGAGGGGTTGGACTATAAGACTTCCAAGCTCCTTCTGTTATTCTGATTGAGATGGTATAAATGTTTTTTAAATAGATAAGCTAGCTAGCATCTGCTCCATCTCATCACCCCAAGTTCATGCCACTTAAAACATTTTCCAAATGTCTGGACTTCAGGAGCCCCCTTATTCCTTCCAGACTCAGTGTTATGGAAGTTACAACTTCATCGCTATAGAGCACTGCACACCAGAACAACTAGACACAAGGAAAGTTTTTTCCCGAATGCCGTCACTCTGCTAAACAACTAATTCCCTCAACACTGTCCAACTATTGACAAAGTCTGCACTACTATTACTATTAATCTTCTCATCGCTCCTTATCGCCCATCCCCTCCCACTTGTGAATGTATGGCTGTAACTTTCTCGCCTTTGTAACCCTACAATTTATATTGACTCTTTCCTAGTATGATTGATTGCTTATTGTACCTTATGACTATCATTAAGTGTTGTACCTTTTGATTCTTGACGAATATGTCTTTTCTTTTATGTACACTGAGAGCATTTGCACCAAGACGAATCCCTTGTGTGTCCAATGACACTTGGCCAAGAAAGAATTATATTCTATTCTGTTCTGTTCTGTTCTGTTCTGTTCTGCTTTATTCTATTCTATTCTATTCCTATTCCAATTCCAATTCCTATTCCAGTTCCAATTCCAATTCCTGTTCTATTCTATTCTATTCTATTCTATTCTATTCTATTCTATTCTATTCTATTCTATTCTAATTCTATTCTGTTCTATTCTATTCATTTTGTATGGATAGGAGAAATGATGGGATAGTACTAGGTGAATCAGAATTATGCAGGGTTGCTGGGCACCCCTGTTTCATTTTTTCCTATTGATTATCTTCCTTTAAGAAGAGTTCTTGATCTGGCCATCAGGGCAAAGTGACTCTAAATCAAGACTGGTGGAAACAGAGGCGGTGGGTCCAATCCGTTAGGACGTGCACTGCACCTTCTTGAATCCCAGGGCCTCCTTAAGACCTCCAAACTGGGAGCCTGAGATTCAAGGCGGCACGACGGAGGACTCAACAAATTTGGATGAAGAAGCAGGTGATCTGGAGCAGATGCAATTCCCGTTAGCCACGCTTTGTCAAAATCATCTGCATAGATGCAGAGATGCATCATCTCTGTGGCATGTACTGCGCCATGTTTGCAGAGCACATCCATATGCTCCAGGAAGGTGAAATGGCTCTAGTAGCTCATTCTAAAGAATGAAGTGCGAAACATTTCAGAGATTTTGTGGAAGATTATCACCCAGAGGTGGCTTTCCAGTGATTTCCCAGATAATGGACTGAATCAGACTTACATAAGGGGGGGAAAAGCATTACCAAGTCAGCTGACCTATCCTAAAAAAGAAGCCAATTCAATTGTTTCCCTTTAAGCTAAATAGGGAATTAGGATGAGGCTAATTGTCTTGACATTTTTCCCTCCCTTAAAAGAACCGGATGAGCTAACTCCACAGCAAAAATAAATGCTATTGTTTTGATGTAGAATGCATACTTCATAAGGGTGAGTTCATTCTTTTATCTCCCTCGGAATTCAGGCTACCAGATTGCTTACCGTCTGGCATCCAGCAACCCCAATAAGTTCACCACGGTGGAAGTCGGCTCTTCAGTCCAACAGTTTGCAGCTACAGATCTCATCCCTGAATCCGCCTATATTTTCCGAGCTTCTGCCAAAACCCGCCAGGGTTGGGGTGAGCCCTTGGAAGCGACTGTGATCACGACGGAAAAGAGAGGTAAGTTAGGAATAAAACTTAAAGAGAGACCCAACCTAGAATTAAGGAGACATTTCCTGACAGTGAGAACAATTAAATCAGTGGAAGGACTTGCCTCCAAAAGTTGTCGATGCTCCATCACTGGAGATTTTCAAGGAGAGAGTGGACATTTGTCGGAGAGATTTGTCTGGAATCGTACAGAGTCTCCTGCTTGAGTAGTGGGTTGGACTAGAAGACCTCCAAGATCCCTTTGAACTCTGTTTTTCTGTATTCTCCTTTCTTCCCAGTACCCAAGATGGAGAACTTTCTAGTCGCAGCTGGTCTTTGGTTTCTTGCGTTGACACAAGAGTTTGATCTTTACCGTGGTCCATTTTCCTCCAATGTCGTGTTAAAACAAATGAAGATAGCATGTGTTATCACTCTAAGAACAGGGGTCTCCAAACTTGATAACTTTAAGACTTGTGGACTTCAACTCCCAGAATTTCATCTCCAGTCATGTTAGCTCAGGAATTCTGGGAGTTGAAGTCCACAAGTCTTAAACTTGGCCAAGTTTGAAGACCCTTGTTCATTTCTATTCTGCATTCTCTTCTCTTCTAAGCTCTATTCCTATTCCAAATTCTATTCCTATTCTATATTCTATTCCAGGGGTCTTCAAACTTGACAACTTTAAGACTTGTGGACTTCCAACTCCCAGAATTCCTCCTCCAGTCATGTTAGCTCAGGAATTCTGGGAGTTGAAGTCCACAAGTCTTAAAGTTGCCAAGTTTGAAGACCCTTGCTCTAGAAAGAAAATGGGCCAACAGCAAACAGTTTCGTTGCTTGGGCTTTTACCTTGGGTGGTTGTGTCCAAATTAAATGTCCTTGAGGAACAGTGGAATGAGGTTCTTCAGGAAAGAGGGACGAATGGGAAAACGAAGACCAAAGCAACGTTGTAGAGCTTATTTTCATTGTGTGTCAGATTCCTTATGGGAATGAATAGGAGCCAGTTCTTCATAGGTATAACTCAGAAGCAGGATAATGTCTACTCAGGTGAAATGAGAAATTATCTACATTAATTATGAAAATATCTATCGTTTCTAGGGGAAATGTTACCAGATATGTTTGGTCCATGTAGGATATGCCTTATACTAAATAAATCTACTCAGCATCCAGCATCTCTGAGCCACTTCAGAATCTAGCACCAAAAAGTGACCTTTGAACATTGTGTAGGTGTCACCAAGGTTCTGGATCAAGTCCATCATAACTCCAGAGCACCCAACATAGCTTCAATAATTTATTATAATGCCCAAGAACTGCCTTCTCCAAGGTTTATGCTCCAGGTTATTAGAGCGCAACATCTAGAATTAATAAGAATAGCAAGTATATCTCATCCATGTACTCATCCATGTATACCAATGCACATCCACATGCAATTTACACATCAACTACTTTCCTGTGGACATGTTCAACCTGCTCTCCATTAATTAGTAAAATCTAAGATCAAGGGGAGTTAAAAGTTCAGTGGATATAAAAATGGCCTTCTAGATAATTCTGCAACGCACCTACTATCCCATTCCTATCTCTGCCTTCTAGATAACTCTGCAATGCACCTACTATCCCATTCCTATCTCTGCCATCCTTGATGTCATTTCCAGCTCCTTCATCCAGTCCTGGGAAGCTCCAAGGCTGCTTGTTGGATGCTTATTATTGAACGTGGAGATTTCTGATTCTCGTATCATAAATTGTTCACTTACAACGTACAAGGAGCAGATGGATACTGTGCTCACTCACAAATAATGCTGACAGCTTAGCCAAAACAAGTGTAATGCTGTAAATCATCATTTAAGTTGGATCTGTTTCAGCCTCTGCAACTCTATCTGCCCAAACCTGCCAACCGCTAATGGACCTCAACGGAAAGTCCTTCCTTTGGCAACTGTGCAGAAAGGAAGTTGGCATTGCATTCCTTCCAGGGCGTTTTGTTGACTTCCCAATATATCCCCAAATCTTGGAATGATCTCGTGGTCACCATTCAAGTATTAACAAGGTCCTATCCTACTTCCTTTCCAAGTTCATCACAAGTCTGTCTGGTGCCACCAAACTGGGGTGCAAAAAGATCCAAGGCTCACCCACTTTATGGGTTCTGTAGAAAACGTTGTATTACACCTGCTGCAATTACCTGTTCTGTTTGGTTATTAAAAGTGAAACTTCGGTCTCTCCCACCCCATTCTTCCGCTATTCTGTCTTTTTTGCTGGAAAAATGTCTTAGCATTAATACCAACATCCATCAAAGAACAGTGCGCGCGCGTGTGTGTTTGTGTATTGCAATGAAAACTAAAATTTACCTTCCTCCCAATATACCGTACATTCTCCCACAAATGAGAAACAAGGATGTTACTTGGAGAATATGTGTTGTTGTTGTTTTCCTGTCCGTAATAAAACCATAATGTTGCAAAGAAAACCGCAGGAATGTAATACTCAGAAGTCAAGCTTGACTTGAGAGCAACTTCACGGCTTTATGTGGGAGATACTACTTGGCAATCAATAGTTGCATCCCATAATTTCCCTCTCTGCTGTTGCCAGAAGAACGAGCCTTATCATTGTCAGGGAGTACTTTGAGACTTACAAGAAAGTTTTTTTCCTTCTCCCTTAACACTTGACTGCAAAGTTGAAGGCGCTTTCATTTCGACTTACTGGCACTTCAGCCACAGCCATCCACGTTCCCATGTTTACATGCAACCCTGTCATACTACATCTATGCTCTAGTATAGCATATCCTGCAACCCAACTCCCTTCTAGCATTGATGATGTTACCTGGTTTGGGTAATGAAACATCTGCAAGAAAACAGAAAGAACCAAGGACCCCACAGTTGTTCCTCCTCCTCCTCCTCCTCCTCCTCCTCCTCCTCCTTCTCTCCCCACTCACAAATCCCACTCACTTCTTGCACTGATGATGTTACCTAGTTTGGGTAATGAAACATCTCCAAGAAAACAAGCAACTCACAGAATAGCAAGGACCCCACGGTTGTCCCCCCCCCTCCTCCTCCTCCTTTCCCCACTCACAAATCAAGCAATCTAAAGAGAGCACCAAGGGCCCCTCATGTCAACCCTGAGCTACAGATATTCTCTTTTATTCGTACAGCCATAACGCCACTGCTTTGACCTCCTCACGGGAGGCGTTCCACTTCCTTGTGCCTGGTCTTCCATCTCTTTCCTCCCAAGGATTTCAAAGGTTTCCCTCGAAGCCACGCGGCTCCCTAACTACACCCAGGTCCTCTAGCGCTCCAAAGATTGCACGAGCGACTGATTTCTCCCACCCAGATACAGTTGCAGACAGATTATCTTGCCCATCATTGTTCCATCATTCACTGTCTGATTGGAAATTGTTTTCCCGGATGGCAGGTTGGATGGATGACTTCTCAACTCGTGGTCCTCGCCCTCCTGATACTTGACAGACTTGGCAATAAACATTTGTGCTTTGGGGGGGGGGTGGCTTCTGATTGAATTGCTAATCTAGGGGAGGCTGTCCTTGAGGAGGGGTTGGAAGGACAAATTTGCGCAGGCTGGTCTGCCATTTCCACTAAAATTGTTGGACTGGTTCAGCCAATCGTATAATAAAGAACGGTTCTGTTTACTCCCGGTCTTAATTAAATTGGCCAGCTCTTCCTCAAGGTGGGTTAGGATCAAAGTATTTCTTCTCAGCCCAGCCTTACCATGTCTCAAATCTTCCGCTGACATTTTATGTTCCTTCTTCATTCCAAATGCGTTATGCAATTATAAAGGAGATTTGCTTTAAGAGGATGCCAGTTTCGAGTGTCCTCTCTACCCACCGAAATGCACCAGGAGTCTAAATTACAATCTTCAGGGATTTTCACTTCAAGTTAGTTTTTCCTGATCTCTGCATTTTATTTGCATGTTGGTTGGAAAAATCCCGGGAGTCGAAATCTGGAGTTGATAAAGTTGGTAAATACAGGCAGTCTTCGACTTAACGGTCCAAAATTTCTGTTGCTAAGCAAGGCAGTTGTTAAGTAAGCTGTGCTATTTTTTAACGCTTTTTTTCCACCATTGGTCATTAAACAAATCTGGCTTTTGCCATTGGCTTTGTTTGTCAGATGCTAGCTGGGAAGGTAACAAACAATGGTCCAGGACAGTGCAACTGTGGTAATGCCTGCCAGTTATTTAGTTACTTGGTTTATTTAGTTATTTAATTCACTTTATTGTCATTGCACCTCGTACAGCAAAATTAAATACCATCTTCAGTGTACATTATGACTGAAAATAAACACAAACACACATCCTTCACAATCTATACATTGAATTGAAAACCCAGTTGCCCAAATTTTGATCATGTGACCATGGGGACGCTGCAATAATCTTTTAAGTATGAAAAGCATTCGTAAGTCTCTTTTTTTTCCAGTGCCGTTGCAGCTTCAAATGGTCACTAAACAAATCGTTGGAATTCGTGGACTCTCTGTACTGCTCTAAGGTCTTCCTTTTCACCGTCCACTGCAGCATCCAATTACTCAACCTGCTACAGATACAAATTGGCTCCCAGGTCATGCACAGATTGCAGGATATGCTATACTAGAGCGTTGGTGCGATATGACACACTGTTGCATATAAACCAGAGGTGGTATTCAGCCGGTTCTGACCAGTTCTGGAGAACCAGTAGCGGAAATTTTGAGTCGTTCGGAGAACCGGCCAATCCCACCTCTGACTGGCCCCGCCAACCCCATCTCTTCTCTGCCTCCCTCTGAGTCCCAGTTGATCAGCTGGGTCTTCTTTGGTTGCCCTGCACAGGAGAACAGAGCTGGAAAGCAGGTTAGCGGGGTGGGGAGGGAAGGGGGATTTTGCAGTATCCTTCCCCTGCCACGCCCGCCAAGCCACGCCTGTCAAGCCACACCCACAGAACCGGTAGTAAAAAAATTTGAATCCCACCACTGATGTAAACTCCAAGTGCACCTCTTTATTATTGATTATGTATTTATGAGAATCTCACCAGACTAACCACGTTCGCTTGGGAACAAGCAGATCAAGGCTTCACTAGTCTGGCCTCTGTTGCTTCCTCCCATGGAGTGAGTGTCCAAGGGGGTGAGTACACCCACTCTTTATTGCCCCTTCTACTCTAGCCAGTGATCAAATCTCTTGGTCCAAGAGAGAACCAACTTAAGATACAATGAGGTTCCCACATAATATCCTCCCCACCTCTGGACCAATCCTTAGGTCTTTCAGTGGAACAAACCAGGATGCCTTAGCCCTGACCCCAACATCACCTCATACAACTCAAAGCTATTGATGTCAAGAGGACTCTTGTTGATGCACCAATCCAAGATCAATGTGCTTCCCACTCTAGGTTCTTATATTCTCCCCACTCCTGGGCTAGTCATTGGGTCTTCCAGTGGAACAAATCAGGATGCCTTAGCCCTGATTCCTGATTCATCTCATTACAACTCCAGCTGTTGATGTCAAGAAGACTCCTGTTGATGCACGGTTGATCATCCTGTTGGCACTGACAAACCACGAGCGCTAAAACATGCCATGTCTTGCAGTGAATGTTTTCAGAAGGGCAGTGGGAACGGAAGAGAGAAAAGCCAAAACACAAGCTGTTCTTTGTAGAAAAACCAACGGAGGTTCAAGCAGCCAGGGGCAGAATATTTACCGAAACAGGTGCTGATGGAATTGAATCAAATGAGATTCTCAATTTGATTCAAATCAATTAAAAGACAAGTCACTGTGGCATCACTAATCAATGCCTGCTTTATTACATGCCACACATTTTAATCAGAATCAATAGTGTCCATGATAAACCATTAAATAATTATTCCTCACCGTGTTGATATTCTCCCACCGAAATTGATGGGTGAGGAGAGCGAGTGCCAAGTTCTCGGCTGATACATTACTGATGGTCACCCTTCTCCTTGGCATTAAGCAATGTCTGGCGCCAGAGATTCCTTCCGAATAAATCAACCGGTGTGCTGTCAGCCATCATAAGGATGCAAGAAAAATCTGAGCTTATCTCCCTCCTCCTTCCGTTCTAGATACAAAAGAAAAAGTACACACCCAACACCTTGTTTTGAGCAATTTAGCCAAAGAGAAGAACAGAATTATAATCAGGACCAACAAACATAGAACTAGGACATGTTGTTTTGTTTTGTTTTCATCTAGTATTCATGAACTACAGGGACCTCCATGCTCTCTGAACTTGGTTGTTTTCTTGCAAATGTTTCATGACTCAACTAGGTGACATCATCAGTGCTAGAAGGGAATGGGAGGAGGAGGAGGAGGATTATTTCCATTGTATATTTGTAGCTCAGGGTCGAACTGTGGGGCCTCTCTTGGTGGTCTCTGAACTTGGTTGTTTTCTTGCAGACATTTCATGACCCAACTAGGTAACATCATCCATGCTAGAAGGGAGTGGGGTTTGCTCTCTCTTTATTTTGCTTAGACAGAATAAAACAAGGAGACTGCACTCAAATGAACAGCACTTCAGTTCCAATCAGGACTTGAAGTTTCCGCAAACAAAGCTCTTCACTCTTCCATTCCAAGGCTCAGCCTGCTATTGATTTCACCTTGAATGGAGATGACAGATATTTTGTAACCTGGATGGCATTTAAACCGCCACCTCAAGGAGCAACTTAAGGGCACAGGTCTCAAGCTGGCCATCTCAGCATTGAGGTAGCCATGCGCAAGAACAGTTGGACTAACCAGGATTGCTTCTTCTCAATGCTAAGGTTGCTTTTCCTGGACTTTCTTGAGTTTTTTTTTCCTTCTTCTTGAAAACCATTCACTTCTCATCTGAACTGAAGAAGCTTCACTGATGAGAAGCGAAATGTTCTCAAGAGAACAAAAAAAAAACACCATCAAGGAAGTCTAGTTGTCTTCTGGAAAAGCACTTTTGGGATAACCGTGACCTCGGATGGTTGAGAATCTCCACAGACTCCTTCTGAAGTTCTTCCATTCATGACTCCAATTTTCTGTTAGTTTCAGTTTCTTAGAAGGGTCATAACTGCTCCGTGTTTTGTTTTGCAGAACGGCCAGCCCCTCCCAAGGAATTAAAAGTCCCTCAGTCCGAAGTCACATCCCGGAGTCTCCAACTGCACTGGGTCCCTGGAAGCGACGGTTCTTCACCCATCCGTTACTTTACCATTCAGTTGAAAGAGCTCCCAAACGGGGACTGGAAAACCTACTCTTCGTCTGTCAATCACAAAGCTACCTCCTGTTTGATTGACAGGTAAGTCTCATATAAATACTTCCATCAGGAGATGACAGGAAATGCAAAATATGTATCTTCTCATCGCAAAGCAGCAAAAAAAAAAAAAAAAAGGATCCCTCCGACAGGTAGCAAAATTCAAGATCAGAATGTTGTGATCGAATTGACAAATCTCCCAGCTCGATTGAAGAGTCCTGAGACCCAAATCTCCCTCTTAACCCACAAATAGCAAAGTTCCACGATTTTTAGCTTTTTTCACTGTTACGAAGGTGATTTAATCATTTGTTCCCTGATATACTTTCAATGAATTAATAAAGGATGAAAAGGAATGGACAACAACAACAACACAAAAGGAACCAGGTGATTAAACTGCTTCCCCGATGGAGAGGAACAATCTCAAAATAATTAATATCAGGGTGTGATGCTATTTATCAGCAGTGTTGCTCCCTCATGAACAGGAAGTAATAAAAAGGCCTGAGATTAGAAAGAGAACACTACTAATTAAACATTGCTGAAATTAGTTATCGAATGGGCTTGTGGAACCACTATCAAAAGAGCTGGTTACACAACAGCAAGGTGTAAAAGCGTCTGTGATGCCCCTGTTGGATTCTGATTCCCAGGGAGAGGTGGAACGGTTGACAGGGAGTGGGAGTGTGGCTCTGGTGGCTGTGGAGGAAACTGGGGAAGGGCACAGTCTGGCTGGGCATTCAGAGGAAGACCCAGGCCCACACCCTCTTCATCCTAGGGCACGCAGGGAGGAACGGATAAGGGAGCAACATGAGTTACAGGGTTACGGGGGAGAAAAGGGCCCTGATCCCCTTCATTGGCTGCAGTGGGAAGACTGTTTAAAAGGGCAAACTGCGCATGGCAAAGTTTGCAATTATTTTGGTTTATCAAGTCTTATCTGAGTTCTGGCATCCTCCCAAGTGTGTGTATTTTGTTATCTTTTCACGTCTTCAATCCCTTATCCTGCCCTGTCTCGTTAATTGCTGCCGTGTGGTTTGTGTTGGTTTTCATTTATAATTTAGATGTACTTTGGGTCTGGATGGAATTTCTTCCCTTTAAAAACTGGGAGAGTTTTTTTTTCCTCCAGCTGATGATAACTGGACATTGGAGGCCAAATTGGAGGAATTCAAGGGACTTTACCTATTTTTGTGACTTTGTTGCTTTTGTGCCACGCCCCTTTGGGTCATCACAGTGTCATGCTGAAACTCCTCCCACCCCCCAATAATGAAAGAATGGCTGCACCATAGAATTAAAGTAATAATTTGCATCTTGAAGGTGTGTTCTTAATAGAAACACAATTCGTTCTTCACTGTATACAGGTAGTCCACAGTTTGTTTCGTGACTGTTCAAAGTTACAACACCACTGGAAAAAAGTGACTTATGGCTGTTTTTTTCACACTTACGACGGCTGCAGGATTCCCAGGGTCACGTAATCAAAATTCAGAATTTGGCAACTGACTCATATTTATGATGGTTGCAGGATCCTGGGGTGATCCCCTTTCACGACCTTCTAACAAGCAAAGTCAACGAAGAGAACAGATTCACTCAACAGCCATGTTATTCACTTAACAGCAATGATTCACTTAACAACTGTGTCAAGGAAGGTTGCCAAATGGGACAAAACCAGAGGTGATATTCAGCCGGTTCTGACTGGTTCTGCAGAATCAGTAGCAGAAATTTTGAGTAGTTTGGAGAACCGGCAAATCCCACCCCTGACTGGAGATTTTACAGTATCCTTCCCCTGCCACGCCCACCAAGCCACCCCCACAGAACTGGTAGTAAAAAAAAAATGAATCTCACCATTGGGCAAAACTCCCTTAACCATCTTGCTTAGCACCTGATATTTAGGGCTATATATCATGGTTGTAAGTCAAGGATTACCTGCAGTCATCCTTTCCTTCACCAGGTTTGCAAGAGGTGATGTTGGACCGGAAACTAAATCACATTCTCAGTTTCACTGTCTGGCAAATCTCAGAAAGAATGTCACATTTTAACTGCAGACGCGCTAATTTCCATTTGTTAATTAGCAAGGCTCCGGTTCTTTTTCTCAGGCGCTGTCCAGCTATACAGGAAGAGAGCCAACCCCTGCAAATCCTTCACCCCTGTTTTGGCAGCGAATTCCTGACATTCATTCCCGGACACATTCTGGGTTTCTGCCTCTGTGTTTAAATCTGATTTTCAGATTAAATGAGGGCGGTTTTAGCCATCTTTCCGTAGTGCGGAAGGAAGAGATCGCATTGCCTGATTCGAATAGCATTATTCAGCCTTGGTTTAGATTGGGCTGGAATTAAAATTCTCGCAACAATCGCTTCTCAGGCCGCACTGTGCTTGCAAAAGAGACTTCCCAGTTAATCTACTTCTCAAGGTGCCGAAGGAAATCCAGGTGTCTTAAAACTGCCAGTAACTTGCTCTTGAAAAAGATTGAGCAATGGGAGGAAGCTTTGGGGCATTACATTAGAAGCGTTGCATGTTGTTGTTTTTTAAAAAAAGAAATTGCACTGGTAGAAGTTGCTACTCTTACTCTACTCTTACTACCAAAATGGGATGTAGGGATGGACCCAAAACAGTCTTCTTTCAGGATCCAATCTGGGTCGGTCACCGATAGCAGAGGTATTATCTTCTGAGCTTTCGGACCAGCTTCAGGGAACTTATTTCTAGCAGTGTGTTATTAATAGTGCCTGTTGTAAGTGGCTTTTTTAGACGTTGATGGGGGTGTGTTGATGGCTGGCTTTTAAATCATTGGCTGTGGTTTGCTTGTGTTACCCAGCCCTAAGATGTAAATCAGCCCTCCTGTTGACTGACCAAGGCTCTGTTTCCCAGGCTTCAGTCACTTACCTGGCTGTTTTTTTGCCTGCTCGTCCAACAATCTTAGTAGCTGCAAAAATTGAATGTGTGCCCTTGTTCGTTGCAGGGTGAGGCTATCAATGAGTTCAGGCAGTCCAGTTCACTTCCACATTTGTTTTGTGATGACTTGATAAGGTGGGCCTCCATTAGCATAATCACATAGTTGTTTGGTTGCATTGAATGCATTGAAAGATATTTTTGAACAATTGGACCAAAGACGGGGAACTTCAAACTGTGCTCAGGCTGTCCCTGAGAAATTAAGGGAAGAGTGTGAACAAATTTAACGAAACTCCCTGTATTTGTGGGATATTCAGCACTTGTTTTCCAGTACCTGCAACTGTTAATCAATTTTCTATACATTTAATTAAAAGGGCCACAATGCTAACATGGTTTGAATGTTTCTTAGAACTTTCTTAAGATGCTTGAGGTTGTGTATAACTCTGGCAAAATCTTGATAGAGATGCAGCCCCAAATACATGGAAAAGGTTAGATTATTTAACTGCAGCTGAATGATTATCTAATTGATGAGAAGGATATGAACCAGAAATATTCCAAACTCAGTTTTACTTTTAGATTTTGGTTTATAGTCAAGGCCAGCCCCTGCCTCATCAGAGTAAGAGCAATGGGATAGCCTTAACTCAATGGGCCCAGCCCCTTAACACAAGGCAAGTTGGTTTTCATACCTGTCTTCAAGCAGTTGCACCGTTACAATGGCCCCTCCTTTCCTCACAGCTACCTGTACCTCTCTTGTTACAGGTTGTATTGATCTTTATTTACCCAAGAACTGTCTCCTCAGCCTTGAGCTTTCTGAATGTGTGGGATTGCAACTCTCAAAAGTAATTGTGTCTGATTGGGAATCTTTCTTTTTAGAGAGATTCTGCAGAAAGATTCCATTAGCTCTAAATCATGCCAACCGGAATGACTTTAAGATCTTGTCTAAAGAGACTTCAATTTCATTATTTAAAGCCCTGAGCATTGTCTACTCAATCAAGGATGTTTGTTTGACATCAAAATTTCTCATCTTTAAGCACTCAGAGTTGTTTCCTACATGTAAACAGCTATTCCAACCCCCCTGGGCTATTCTCCCATTTCCTCCATACAGTGGAATAGAATTAAATGTAGTGATTGATTAATCGATTAGTCTTACATTCGTATCAAAGAAAATAAAGGCAAAATATAGGATCTAATTCCAGTGTAATATAGATAAAAGAAATTACAGCAATAAAATACAGAAGTGCAAGTCCAAATAGTCAGCCTTTCGGCCACTCTCATCTCCTTTCCTGTATATCTGGGGATTTTAAAGGTGACTTCCCATCCAACCTGGATGACTGGATAAATTTTGGAATTTGGGGCTGAAGAGCATTAAACCTTCAGTTGTTTTTCCTCCATCAAGTTCTCTTCTTAACCCATATTGGACTGCTTCATAAGCTGCAGCCCTTTGAGCCTATGTCTGTTTTGAAAAGTGTTGAGCTTAAGGTGTCCTCCTTGTAACTGAGTCCTTCTCTGTATGGCCAACCTCTGTGGTAACTCCAAAGATCTGGAGATCTTGCTTCTTCTTGTCTATTGGCTTCAATTTTTGTTTCTCTTTCTTATATTTTCCATGGGAAATGGTAGTGTTTTATCAGGAAGTAGAGGAAGTGTAGTAGAAACATCCCCCAAGGACTCCTTGTTGTTCTTTTTCATGTCTATGTTCCATCTTCAAACAGGAGTGAACCAGTAGATGATTCCTCAAGATGAGTACCATTTTCTTGGGCAGCTCTATTAGAGATTTGGCAACTTCATGTGTTATTGCTAATAATCCCCTCAGATCATTAGGCTTTTTTATAATACCCCACTTGTTCAGTATCTGGCAAAGTACTGAAACGGTTAACTTTATCTCTAAGGGTTCTTCAGAAAACTGACTTGCCATGAGAGGTGCAAACTGCTCAGGCTGCCTCATCTCAAGGACAGCAGTGATAGAACGTCCTTGCCCTTACCTACTTTCCTGTTGCTACTATTAAACCTTCAAAGCAAAAACACACACTTATTGCCAAGATTAATGAGCTAACTCCTTCTGTGTGAAGCACGTGTAGTGAGAAGATATCACACTTGGACAATAAATGCTTCCTTTTGAGCAACACACTGACTGGTAGTAAGATGCTAGAAGGATTTGTGTAGAGGTTCTTCTGGATTGTGAAGATCTGGAGTATAGGAACATCCCAACCACCATGTCAGCGTTCCAACGAAACTGCCCATTTCATTCAAGCACTCAGAAACAAAGTTCATCCAAGTAAGAATTTATTAAAGAAGTCTGGGAAAACCCGAATCTGAGAATTCCAGGTTTTCCCTTCCTAATTGCAAATTCAAAACCCATGCCCTGCATGCACCAGTCCGTCTCATGGCCCAATCAACTATTGTCCCAACTGGAGACACTCCTCCAACCTCTCCTAGGCAGGTGCAGGTTCACTTGTCCTTGACTTTATGAGAAGAATGTTGTTATGTCTAGTCTTCCACCTCTCCATGAAATCCCCCCTCCCAAATTCCCAGGCACTAAGATGTGGCAGCTTGGAAGCTTCTGAGTAAAATATGAGTTCCAAAGCTAATACACCACTTCCGTGAGAGGTTTCCAAACATACAGTTGTGAAGCACAGAGTCCCATTCTTGGAGTTCCCCACTGTTCCTACTGGCTAATATCAAGCCAAACAGAGTCCATATATAGCACTTTTCCAACGTTGACCTTCACCAAGCATTGTCTTCTGCTGGTCCTCAGACCCCGCATCTTATCTCCCCGTGTTTTAATCTTCTGTCCCCGGTACCTCTATTTGGTTTGCTTAGTTGGGTCTGCGCATTGGCTGACTTTCACCAATTATAATTAGCTCAGCCTATTGTGAGCAACTGTGAGCTCCTGCAGTCCTTGTTAGTCACACAAAAGGAAGACTCCTGCTGGCTGCACTAAAAGCTCAGATCAATTCACGCCAGCTAGAAGCCCATCTTTGAATATCTTAACGTCACTGAGAGTGCGGGAATCCTGCAGGGAATCCCCTATCTCTGTCAGAGTTAAATAAGCTGAATACCTACTTTTTGGAGATGCAACCATGATGAGAGAGCATTGTCTAGTAGATTAAGCAAGGTGGATCTCATGCCATTTATCCCTCTGTCATTCAGCCCGCTCTTGCATAAATCCACTGATACCTCCCACATAGGTAACCAGCGGTAGATAATCTTTGATCACTGCAAAAGGTGTCACTCAGATGCACCGAGAAAAGGAGTCAGGAGGAGTAGAATCCTCCACGTCCCTGTTTGCTTAATTTGAGTTTGTGGTTATTGTTTCATCCCCTAGCCGTGTAATTCTGGGCTACATTAGAATATTAATGAGTGGCTGTACAGTAATACATTTGGTAGGCTTTATTTTTTTAAGGTGAAAAATGAAAAATGTCTTGTGAAACCTGTCCTTATCTTGAACAAGCTCTTAGGTACTTTGGGGTTTGAAGCAAAAAGAGAAGATTACAATATTAACATGGTCATAATAAATTATCATTCTTTAATTAGCTGCTCACAACGCCTGCCCTCTTACGAACTAATTCTTTCGCCCACTAAATAGATTTGGAGAAAGCATAGCTAAGTGAGCTTAAATCCAAAAGAGGCCATACAAAAAAAAAAACCCAAAACTGGTGTCTTTCTGGTCTTCAGGTCTACAATTTCTGTGAATTCCAACTGAAGTGGCATCATGAGGACTTCTGGGAGTTGTAATCCAGAACGTTTGGATGCTGTTGTGCTGCTTTCCCCGGAGATTATGAGAAGCATAACAACATGAGACAAATATTGATTATTATTGTTTTAATTTTGGTCCACCCCTGCAGGTTGAACCCATTTACCTCTTACAAGCTGCGCCTGAAAGCCACCAACGATGTCGGAGACAGCAATTTTGGTGCTGAGACGGAGGCAGTCACTACACTGCAAGATGGTAAGGACCACAACAACCAACCAACTTCTTCGTTAGGGTGCCTCTTACACCCTCATTCAAGATGGTGCTTTTTCAAAAGGCAGCTGGGCTTTCTTTGTTTTGCCTGAAGACGTTTCACTTCTCATCCAAGAAGTTTCTTCATTTCTGATAGAATGGTGGGGAATGGAAGGATGTATATTCCTTGCAGTCATCTGCTTGTTAGCACTCTTTCTGGGAGTCATTGAGGCTACTTGGAGGTTTATCTGTGCCCTCAGGGTCCCCTGGATAGTGAAGATGGGTGTGGAATGTTCTTGGAACTGCTGGAGATAAGTGGTGTTATATCCCTCATAGTGTCCTGTTGGGACAACCATGACTGGGATGTCTGAGAATCTCCAATAGTCCTCATTCAGAAACCTCACCTAGATTTGTATTCCCAACATTGGCCATTTAGGAGTGAACATGCACCCAACCAAAATTAATTCTTGGGTCACTAGGACCATATTTAGATGTTTGTTCTTCCAGATAAACCAGCTCAGGAAACCCACCACAAAGACTACTGGAACTCTGTTTTGATGAGGTATGATTACAACAACCTCAAAAGCTTAGCAGAGATTCTCCCGTCTTTGACACCCAAGAGAATCAAGGCAAGGCAATCCCCACTTCCTCTTGCCTTTCAAGGCTACATAGGTGTCAAGGCAACAGTTGAATTCTTCTTCAAGGCTTCTCTATATTCTTCTAAATTGTCCTCTTTGATAGCTTTCCTGCTCTGTCTTCTAATAATGAGTTTTACATCTGCACCTTGAGTGCATAGACCAGTGTGGTCTTCAACCTTGGGAACTTTAAGATGGGTGGAATTCAACTCCCAGGATTCCCCAGCCAGCTAAGGAGTTGAAGTCCACCCATCTTAAAGTTGCCACTGGCATAGACACACATTTCCCTGAATAGACCAAAAGCTTCTGGACTTCCCATAGTTAGAGTGCTCCTTACTCCTGTTATTCATCTATAGAGCTATGTGGCCAAGTAATACATTTCTCATCTTCGTATCTGTTTTTTTTTTTCCTTTCTAGTTCCAGATGAACCACCAAGTTCTGTGTCTGTGACGCCATACACAACATCCTCAGTTCTGGTACAGTGGCAGGTGAGTAAAAAGGTAGCCAGAAGCCTGAACTCCAATGATCAGGGAAGATTTCTAGGATTGATCATAGCAAACTGCCATATGTGAAATAAATCATTAGTATGAACCCTGGAACACTTCAATCCTCCTTCACGGATGCCAGTGTATTCTCAGTGTTAAAATATCATTAGGTTAACTCAGGGCTGGTGTGGTTTCATTTGTTTATTTTTAAGAAATGTATATGGACATCCATCTCACATGAATCTGGACTTCTAAAAGCAAAAACAAGACAACTACAATGTAAAAATGACAACGTTTTGCCCTTTGTCTCAAATTATTTGGCTTTTCCTACAAAGATGTTTTCAAATCCCCATGCCTGAGCCCTAAGCTGGTACCTTCTGATAGGACTGGAAGACATCTTACCTCACAATAATATTTCCCCGAGATCACATAGGACCAGTGTATCGGAGAACAGGCTGGGAGGCTTTTATGGTTTATGTCAGATACAAAGAACCAGGATCATTCCTTAAGTCCAAGCAGAGGATGTTTATTATGTCAGAATCCAGTCAATGAACAGCCAGCAATAAATTGGTGCCAGATAAGAGTCAAAGGAATTCAAGGGGTCTGGACTTGGATCTCTTGTGGCAATGCAAGGATTCCAAACTAATGACGCATTTAATTCCGCCTTCTAGCTCTGCCTGGTTTTCTCCTACCTCTTCCTCTTAGCTTCATGATAGCCACTTTGTCATGTAGATTTTGTGTCGGTCTTCCTAATTGCACAGGAAGTCCTGTTTGTGGTGAAAATCATACTCTGTTCCAACATGTTAAACAAATGTGAGACATTTTGACAGTTTTTAACTAAGGAACCAAACGTAAGTACCAATCAGCCATTTGCCTCTCATTCAGGCATACAATGGAATTCCACTAACGCGCGCAAAGGACAATACGGTGGTGCACATCTCATTAAAGGTTGATCCTGTTGATAGATTTGGGGTGGATAATGAATGTGAAATAGATGGTAGCTGAGATAATTAGAAACCTTTTATTTCACAAAAACCTAATGGGAAACTTGCACCCTAGCTATATCTAGGGAACTGAAGGCCAATTACATGTCATTACCATGCTTACATTATTGGGGGCACTTCAGCAGTTTAGGCTCTATAGTTTTCAAATAAAAAATGTAAAATAATTTGAAACTCCAGTTAACTGCGGAGAAAACACAGGTGGGCATAAGATAATGTTTTATTGCTTAGCTGGAGAAGGCAAGGAGCAGAATTAAATGCTGGCGCATCGAGCATTTCACTCCTTAATTGCATACCATCGATAGCAACAAGAAAGTTCTTGCCATCAAAAATCCTGATTTTCCTGTCCCGTTCTGTGTGGAAGTCAATTTGCCAGCTCTGCTCTCACCTGCTCCTTCCTTTAATCCAGAATTTGTCCCAATTTCACAGTGCAAACACACGGTCGTTATCATCCCTCTGAGTCATAATAGATTTCTGGGGCCTCCGCAGTTCCTCTGGGCCTCCCTCTCAGAAATCGTTAGGAAATCCTAAATAATCCTTTACATCAAAACCTGAATTTTTTTACTCATGAAAGATGGATAAGAGCAGGATGCCATGACCTTTTGGTTAGAGTACTTTTTCCAGGGCAGAAATAAAACCATCAAAGAAAGAAGGAAATGTCATCTTGTGCCATTTATCCCAGGTTTCTTTGTGCTGGATCGCTTAATAGCTTCTGAATCTGAGATCAGGCACAGGCTGCTTCTCGAGAGAGAGACAGAGACAGAGAGAGACTGAGACAGAGACACAGAGAGACACACAGAGACAGAGAGAAGACAGAGAGAGAGAGAGACAGAGAGAGACAGAGACAGAGACAGAGAGAGACTGAGACAGAGACACA